TTATTGAGATAACAGATTTGTTTTATTGTTGAAAATGATTTTCATAGGAAAACTTTCAATGACATGCGATATAATCAACTTTTTCTTCGAAAAAATTACAATGAATGTTTTATTCTCTTATTTGTTCTTCAATTAACAAATCTTAATAGTTTTCTTCGTAAGATTTAGAAAAAAAATGAAAGAACAACATATTTGTAATTGTAATTGACATTTCCCATAACAATTTTAAAGATTTTTATGGATAAATTGGATGTGATGATCAAAATCTTCTGATATTGATACAAATTGTAAAAGAAATTCTTGATTGTTGATACATTACTTTTTGTTTTTATTATGAAAATTAATTTGAATTTATTAAATCTGATTCAATAAAAATCTATTTCACAATCTTATCATTCATTTGAGAATGTTTTATTCACGATGATACATGATGAAATGAAAATATTTCAATAAAACCTTCTTGTACATAGACTTGATTATAGAATTTCTTTAAAAACAAAATGATTGCATTCGAAAACTACTCTACATTTATTGTTTTACTTAAAATACCATGTGCGGCGAAGAATAATCGCGATTACGTCGATTATTATCTTTATGGAAAACTTTTCCTTATCGAAATTTACTACGAAAGGAATATCCAGAATTTCTATGGTTCTTCTCATGTTTTCTTTGTGTGATTTCTACCTATTATATTCGAAAACGCTTTTATCTTCATAATTCCATTTAAACATCTCTTTAGATTTCCTAAAATGTATATTTTTATCCTTTTTATTGGATTCTTCATGACTTCTTTTAAGACGTTTCTCATTACCTTCTTTCTTTATTATTTGTGACACCTTCACTTTTTCTCATCGGATCGGATTGTTTATCATTATATTCATCATGTCAGTATCTTCACGTTTCTCACATGAATTCTCTTCTGTCATATTGTTGTGTTTTGTATTCATATCTTTATCTATAATCTTACATTTATACTTCTTATTATGATCGTTACTATTACTCTCACGAGATTTCTGATGACTAATTTCGCCTTGAAATCACTGGACTCTTTCTGATTTAGAAGTACTCTGTAGAGTCTGCCTTTTAGCAATGGGGTCAATCAGGTGATGAGTTTTAGTATTAACAGCAAGCATAATGTTGAAAGTTGAGCTTTTCTCAGAGTTAATATGTTTCTCAACAGCTTTGGTCGCTCCAAGAACATAATCAATATTTTTCCCTGTAGCACTAAAAGCTTTGTTAATAGATGTTTTAGTGGATGGATTGTAAGTTTCACTATGGTTATGACTATCTGATTCAATTTCAGTTGATGCAAGAGTGTCATTGTCTACTTCAATTAATAGATTAACTGGTGGATTGAGATCAGTTTCAGCACCTTTAATTTCATGAACGAATCATCGATTATTACCATCGATTCGATCACTTATTGGAAAGAATAGACTTATTTTGATTGATATTTTTACAGCAGCAAAATGACAATATTCGAACCTAATCCAGAAAACGTTTATTTTTCAGTGAATTTTCTCTTTTGAAAATATTTTCTTACAAGAAATAATGTTAAAAAGAAGAATAGTTTCATTGTGTAAAGAACAATTTCAAAAATTTCTCCTCTATTATATTCTATTTTAATTAATAGAAAACAGATATTATTTAAAAGTACTATTGGATGTATCTAGTTATGCTAAGAGATGAAATAATTCAAATCAAATGTTGAATACAATAAGAAAAACATGTTTTTTTGTCGATATTTCTTCCTCTTTCTATTTCACTGTCAAATCAACAAGTTGTTCTTCATTAATCAAATTCAAATATACATCTTATATCTTTAAAAGTCAAAATTGTATTCTTCACTAGAATTCAATAACCAATGAAACACCAAGAAACAACTGATCAATGAAAAGTCTCTTGTTTTCATTTGCTAATAGAAAATCGAACTTTTCTTTTAAATTAATTTTAATATCGAATCATGATTATAGCCATATGTTAAAGTCGATCTATCAAATTGAATTTGAATTTCATCTATGTTTTTGTGTTTATAGTAATGTTCAACAACCATACAGTAGAAATGTACATATAGAGAAATGAAATTTGTTTTAAATTGTATTTGAGTTTCTAGACGCAATAATATAATTTCAACTTCTTTCAAATAGAAGTTTAATTTCATTCATATCTTGAACTATTGAGATTTTATTCATTTTTACTCCAGAAAATTCGTAAATTCTCAGAAAACAGCTCAAGACTTTATCCAAATTCATAGTAAATAAAACAATCGACAACTATATCTTGATCTTACACATTCTCAAAGAGTAAAAAGTTTTAATTAAAAATTAAAACAAAATCTTTAGTACTGAGGAAATATTTGACTTTGATAAATGCTTGAAGCACTGTTTATGATGATTCTGTCAAAAAAAGAGAAAATGAAATGATAAAAATAAAGACTAAGACAAAGATTACACTACATATTTTGACAAATCTCTTAATAAAAGATATTCTTACATAGTAGACGAACTAATTATAATATTAATACAATGTATATAAATGTTAGTTTTTAAATACCAAAATCATTAATAAAGAAACACAATGTCGGATATTTTAGGAGAAATTTCAGTAAAACTTGCTCAAATTCTTTTACCAATGATAATATTTGTTGGTGTATCTGGAAATATTTTGAATATAATTATCTTAACTCGAGCAAATCTACGAAATCACGCCTGTTCAAAATATTTCTTAGCACTTGCTTCAAATAATCTTCTTTATTCATTATTTATCATCCAATATTTCTTATCCAATGGATTTTCTATTGATGGTCAAACAATATCAAATATTTCCTGTAAAATTCTTCAATATATTGGTAGTGCATGTCCATTTCTTTCACCATATTTTATTGTCTTAGCTTCAATTGATCGATTTTTTGCCAGTTCATCAAATGTAAATATACGTTCAATTAGTAATGTAACAAATGCAACAAAATCAATAATATTTATTGTAATTTGTACATTATTATTTTTTATAAATACTCTTGTTTTAAATGAATATCGTGATGATGGATATGGATGTGCCATTCGTCCTGAAACTTTGTACAATCAAATATTTTATATTCTACAAATTATTCTATTTGCTGCTATTCCTCCTATTCTAATGATATTCTTTGGTTTATTAACAATTTATAATACAACACAATTACAAGTGAACATTCAAGTAACTATTCGACATCGTCGAACAGAAGGTCAATTAGCACGAATGCTTTTTCTTCAAGTTACTATTTATATTCTATTGAATATGCCTATGTGTATTATGTATTTAATGTTAACATTACCAGTTGGTTATATTCCAACACAGGAATTTTTCTTTGTTTTATCAATAAGTTCGATTTTATTTAATTTTTCATTTGCAACAACATTTTTCTTATATATTCTTACGGCACGAGTTTATCGTGAAGAATTATTTCGTTTGATTTCGAAAGTTTTTCATTATAGACGTGCAAATCAAGTTCAACCAATGTCAACAACACGTCATCCGGAGGTAACACGTCATAGAAACTAATTAATGAATTTTTTTTCAACATTTTTATGTTATTAATGTTGTTTGTCTGTTTTGTATCTTTTGTTAATTATCTTAGAAAATACAAAAGAATTCTTGTAAGATAATTTATTTTAAAAGAAAATGTAGGAGAAAAAGATTTACACTAAAATCTGATTAAATTCCGAATATTTGACTGATTTACTAAAAATATATTCATAAATACAATGAAGAAAATGATGAGAGATTTTGAACAGTGATATTATACGATCATCGTATATGAATTATGACTCGACAATACTATATTAAACAAAAGTTTGTGTAAAACTTCAAAATATTCTCAATGAATATACGTCAGTAACATCCGTATAAAATAAACGAATGTGTCATTGACAGGTCTATCTTTACGATAATGAGAATAATAATGAACTCATCTAGAAAGATTTTTTTAACAGTTCTTTATACATAATATTCACAAAATACCTGGATAAAGGATTAAGATGTGGATTTTAAAATATCGGCAGCTACCGCACTCTACACAAATTTCGTGAGTCAATACAAGTATTATTTGCTCTTTTGTCAACCACAGAAACAGAACACGATGACGCCAATATGTTGAAGAAAAGGGGACGGAAAAATCCGATGTCACTTTGTTTGCATATAGCGATTATTTCATAACAACATTTCTTCATACTTCTGTTTGTATCAATACACAAATACATTTTCAAACCTTCGTCGATTGTTAATCTATCCATGGCTTCATCGGACGATTTCTTCTTTTCAACAGGAGTTGATAATCATAATCCTCCATCATGTATGATTAACTTGAAAGATTTGATCATTTCAATGATGATTTCGTTCATTTAGATGGTGATTCAACTGTTCTCGATGAATTTTTAAATGAAATGCGATCAATAAGTAAATGAAATTTTCATACATGTTCAAAAAACTCTTCTTAATCAAACTCGTTTTTAGATCCTGACAATGTCGATATAACGTCGATTGATACAAATCAACTTGATTCCATGTACAATGAATTATGCGATGGTAAAATAAACACAAAAGTTTGTTTTCATATCATTCGATTAAATTCATAATTCAGGTCAAAGTGGAAGCATAGAAATGCATGGAATACCATCATCTTTACACAATCAATTCGATTCTCTTCAAATAAATGAAGAAAATCGAACGATAAATTCTATTCCATCACTTACTAATGATAATCAAGTGATTCAAACAAATGAAAAACAAATTGATGGTATAATATTTTAAAAAGAAAGAAAATCTTTCTATTCTTCTATTTAAATGATTTATTCAGGTTTAACTCAAGCAATGGCACAATTATTTGATGAAGATTTTCCGAGTTCATCCGAAACATCGACAACTTTATCAGAAAACCCAGTTGTCAAATCGGTTTGTTATTTCATATAAAACGCAAATTTATGCAAATTTCTTTTTCTAGAATTTCAATGTTCGCTCAAATTTGGTTAACTCTACTGAAATAATCGTAACAAATCAAATCTTACAATTTCGTACATCACCATTTTTGAGTCAACGAGTTCGATATGCGAGTGATCATAACATATTTTTCCGTTATATCTCAGCACCAGAGAACAATCGTATTAGTTTTCATGTAAAGACATTTCTTTATTTAAATTTCATTCTATTTTCATTTTTTCCCCAGGCACTTCAACTTCGTGATCGCTTACCACCGGATGTTTCTGTCGTAATGCGTGTTACTCGCACTACAAATCCATATGAATCGGTGAAAATCTGTCACCCTTATCCTTTGTGGGTCAAAGATCCAAAGGCACAAGTTCATCAAGGTTCATTATTACTTGACGTCACTACAGAAATACGAAATAATGACGAAATTAGGTGAATATATTAATTAGTTAATAAAGACAGAATCTTATTAAGTTATTTTTTTTTAGTTTTGAAAATTTAATGATGGAACGATTAACACAAGGTCTATTAAAGAGAATGACTCAATGGCCAATCTTTACACCGAATCAACTTGACTACAATAGTAAGAACAGCACAAATCTATTGTCTTACTTATTTTAAATAACTTTTTAGATTTTCATCAATCCGGTACAACGGATTCAAAAATTCTCGTTGAAAAATACGATCTACGTCATAGTATTTTGCACTTTCAAATCTTTTTTGTTGATACAAATCACGTGGCCTATCCAACTGATTTGTTATGTGAAACAGATTCGATATTCGAATATGAAGGTAAAATCTAAATTTACCCGCACATTTAATCATAAATCTTTTTTCAGAGAAGGATCGATTGGAAATTCCCAACTATTTACCGACTACACGACGACGTCAACCCAAACGATTACAACCACAAACATCACGCAAAGTAAATTGAAGTTTATAACCGCAGAAAATTCCAAATATCTTTTCATATTTTTAGAAACGAGCCAACTGAAGGGGCTCATCCGCCAAGAAAACATTACAATGCGTATAAACAAGTGACTGATTTCAAATCGTTTTAGTCAAGAATGAATAAATGAATATTCTCCGAGTGATTTTTATTCCCTCTTGTTTTGTTATCTTTTTTAAACAAGAAATAAACTTATTTATCGTATAACGTTCCGAAAGATGTCACTAATCATTGATAAACATAAGTGAATGTCTCACATATCTGTTGTCGTCGATTAATCCATAAAGTACCCAATGAGAAAAAAGCTTTGGTCATATTTTACAGTTGAATTCCTATTATCGAAAAAGAAAGATAAATATGAAATCGAAGAAATATTTGTTACATTCTTCTCTAATTTAGATGAGTTCGATTCATACATTAAAACGGCAATGTCAATGGTGTTCTCAGAACATTTATGATTTAACAAAGTCACTCAATTGTCCACATATTATTTGTAATCAATGTCTTTTAATCGACACAGGGTGTCAGTCGACTTGTCCATTATGTTGGTATGAAAATGCCGGACAGTATGTTTTAAATTATCGTATTTGTTCAGGTAAATTGACGAGAATTGTGAAGAAATTTTTTGTCGAAAATCGTTGTTAGTTTGTTGTAGTGATATTAATTCTAGTGATCGAATTCCAAAATGTATTGGAAAACATCATTATTGTTTTAAGTGCATTCCCGAAGGTTGTATTTTGTGTCAATTCCAACTAATAAAACATTTCAATCAAGTGAAATTTCGTGATATGCCAGTACATGATCAACATATTCTGTTTACGTGTCAAATCTGGCAAAAGAAATTCGAAGAAATTCAAGAAAAATTGAAAAATATTGCCACATCGTCTTTTTCTAATAATATTATTCACAATGCACAACAAGAACAATCACTAATGAATTCAGGTAAGAGAGTCATTGTGAATCTGTTCTGATGAAAATCTTTGAAGAACTTACAAATGAAGAACTGGGTGATTGTATGATTTGTCTTGATCAGTTAAAATCTTCTCCTTCATGTCGACTCGACACTTGTGGTCATTCATTTCATCAATCTTGTATTGATAAATGGTTCGAATCAAATGGAAAACAATCTTGTCCAAGTTGTGGACATGTTTATGGAATTACCAAAGGTTTGACAAATTAAAAAAACTGTTCATCAACTTTCTGTTTCGTCTTTTTCAGGACCTCAACCTGCCAACGGTCGTATGATAGTTCGACTTATTCAAACAATCCTCCCTGGATACGAAACTTATCATTACGAATCTAATGAAGGTCCAACCATTGAAATCACGTATTCATTTTCTGATGGAATTCAAGGTCCATTGAATCCAAATCCTGGTGCACCATATAGTGGAACAGTACGAAAAGCATATTTACCAAATACCAAGGAAGGACAAGAAATTTTAAGTTTACTACGTCAAGCTTTCAACGATCAACATATTTTCACAATTGGAAAATCAATCACTACTGGAATGGATAATGTGATCACATGGAATGATATTCATCATAAAACGAGTATTTACGGAGGAGTTGATCGGTAAATTTTTGACAATAAATTAATGTATTTAAAAAAGAAAAAGACTTTTTATTTAGTTTTGGTTATCCAGATTCGACTTATCTGTATCGTGTTCGTCAGGAACTTGCTGATAAAGGATATAAATAAAAGAAATTTGATTTGTTGTTTTAGTCGAATATTTTTTTGTAAATAAAACTTTTTTTTTCGAATAATTTCAGATAAACATGGCATCGTCATATTGGAAAAGTTCACAATTTGACCAATGGTTATTCGATCGTCAAGAATTGTTATCTGTTCGTTTACGTGACATTGCATCGTGGCCAACAAATCCAAATTCTTCTTCAATCACAGAAGATGATTATTTGAAAATCTTAATTTTCTATTCAAATATCATTCAAAACATTGGAGAACAATATAAAGTTCGTCAACAGGTCATTGCAACAGGAATTGTTTATTTAAAACGATTCTATGCTCGATATCCATTGAAGAGTATTGATCCTTGGCTTCTTTGTCCAACTTGTTTATTTCTTGCAGCAAAAGTCGAAGAATTTTCAACATTAAGTCATCCAAGAGTTTGTAATGCCGCTGCAACGACTTACAAAAAATATGCTCATCTACTTGGTAAGTCACAAATTCCAAGTCTAAGATATAAAAATATCGTTTTTCTTCGAAAATCTAGGTGGTCCAAATGAATATCCTTATCAAATCAAACATATTCTCGAATGTGAATTCTATTTACTTGAAATAATGGATTGTTGTTTAATTGTTTATCATCCATATCGTTCCTTAGACATGTACACACGAGAATTTCAAGTCGATCAACAATTATTCGAAGCTGCATGGCGTATCATCAATGATTCATTAAAAACCGATGCACCATTATTATATCCTCCATATGAAATCGCTTTAGNTGAATATCCTTATCAAATCAAACATATTCTCGAATGTGAATTCTATTTACTTGAAATAATGGATTGTTGTTTAATTGTTTATCATCCCTATCGTTCCTTGGACATGTACACACGAGAATTTCAAGTCGATCAACAATTATTCGAAGCTGCATGGCGTATCATCAATGATTCATTAAAAACCGATGCACCATTATTATATCCTCCATATGAAATCGCTTTAGCTTGTTTGTTACTTGCCGCGACATATCGCGATAAAATGCCTCTGTTAAAACAATATATGATCGATGCTCAAATCGATGTGGAAAGAGTTTATGAAGTTGTTAAACATTTACTTAAATATTATGAGTTAATGACAAGTTACGACGCTGATGTTCCGAATGAAGGAAAACAAATCAAAGAGATTTTATCCAAAATTCCCAAACCAAAGGTTCTCTCCAATGATTCAGCACAATCAAATGATCAAACAGCAACGTCAACACAGCAAAACTCAGCGAATACGAATAATAATAACAATAATAATCAATAAATAAAAAAGACGAAGTCATTCTTTTTTTTTCTGTTTAATAGAATAAAATGTTCGTGTAAATATTGTATAAATCCATTTACTTTAGATTAAAAAAGGCAAATTATTGATTTTTTCGATTCAATGTTGTTATGGTTAGTTTAACGATGAGCCAAATATTGGCAACAACGACAAATAATCGAAAAAAGAACGCCGATGGAGAATCAACAACAAGTCCACCTGTATTTCAATCGAATTTATCGTGTGTTCTAAATGATCCGAAAAAAAGTCGAGCAGAAATTTCCACATTTTTCACCAAAACATGGGGTTTGTTTGTTTATTCTCATTGATTCCATCAACAACTTTTTCTCTTTTTCCAGGAAATTCTTTTGTTGATCGTACACCCGATTCTCTCGCACGTCTCGGTGATTACACTCTCAATGATTTCGAAACATATTTTATCAGTCTACGCAAAAGTGAAAAGTACGGTCGACCACGTTTTGTTGGTCAACAACAATCAACAAATGAAACACATCCAATTGAAAAATCAAGTCCGATCACAAACATTCCACAATTATTTCTTTCATCACAATTTACATTAAATGATTCATCAACATTTAATTTAGTTTTTCCAGGAATAATTCCAACAAATCGTTCGTTATCTCCAATTCAATTTGATCAACAACAAAAATCGCGAACAACATCAACAAGTTCAGAAAAATCCGAAGGAAATCATCGACGACAATCGACTTCATCTAATACAAACAAAACAACTTCCAATGGAACAGTGAGGTTCGTTCTTTCTTCACATTCATCGATTTTCTCCTGATGAAATTCCATTTTAGTGTTCCAAACTCTTCTCCCAAACATTCAATTAGTTCTTCAACACGTTTGTTACAAGATAAATATACTCATTATTTAGATGAAGTAGAATTATTAATTAGTCGAGCATTATCAACAAAATCTCATTGTTTTCATGATGCTGTTCGTTCTCATGATGAAATTCAATCATTTTTAATGACAACACGTCAGGCGATTTTGTCACTTCGTGAACAATTATCGACCTATGACTCTCAATCTTTGTTAACTCTTCTTCGACTTTCACGTTTACTTCGTCAAAGACAAAATCAACGTGAACTTCTCAAGCGTTTAGAATCTTTGTCCATTGTTAAACAAACACATCTTCAAGTTCAATCTTTATTATCAACGAGGGATTTTCTATCGGCGTTAGATTTAATTGATCAAACAAGAGAGATTATTTCAACACAATTAAATGATCTTTCTTCATTAAGATTTTATGATTCACAACTAAAAGAACTTTATCAATTGAATATCAATTTAATGAGACAAGAATTTGGACAAACTTTAAATCATTTATTAATTAATCAACAAAGTTTATTGACAGATGTTTCAACAACAAATGAATATGTTGAAGATGATAAATTTATAACAATTTTGATTGGTTTAATACGAGTTAAAGATGAAAAATATGTCGATGAAATTCGATCGAAATTTGAATCTTACATTGTTGAAATTATTGAGAAATCTTTACAAATCAGTTCGAAAGATGTTCATCCAAATAAATCAACAAATAAAACGAACAGGTTAATTTTTCATCCGACATTTCTTTTCTAAATCTCTGATATTTCAGTGAACAAACAAATTCCAATGAAGAAAAAGCATCTTCGTCATTGAACACACGTTATGTTTATCCTTCGTCAATCAATAGTCATTCAAGTTCATTTCCATTATGGTATCGATCGATGACAAATGTATTCACATCAACTGAACAAGGTTTTCGTCGTTTATCGAATGTTAATCATTTGATAATTGAATCACTTTCAAAACATCAACAAAATTTCAATTTGTCTCTCTTGACAAATCTTTTTGATTCAATTGAAGATCGTTTAATTCATATTTTAAATCAGGAATGTTCACGTTATCAAGTTCAATTCGAACGATTATCATTGGATGAATATGCACAAATGGTTAAATTAGTCGAACAATTTATTGAAAATATCAATGAATATGAAAAGAAATATTCATCACTTCCTTTGAAAAGTTTCTTACAAATTCAAACAAGTAAATTTCTCAATTATTTTCACGACGAACGAAAACAACGGGTTTCGGATACGTTGGATAATGAACAATGGAAACAGGTAGATCAATTATTTCAAAAATACATTACAATTAGAACTGATCAATGATTTATTTTCAGGTGGCCGTTCCTCGTTCAATTCAAAATTCGATTGATGAATTATTTTCTCAAACAACCTCCAATACATCTGATACGTTGATAATCAACAATGAACAATTTGTATTAACATATAGTGCTCTTCATTTGTTTATGTTAGTACTTGATTATTGTTCATGTGCTCAATTATTAGCATCGTCATCGATCAATGATGTTCAACATCGTCTTATTGAATTACTTAATATATTCAATTCGAAAACGTGTCAATTAGTTTTAGGTGCTGGTGCTGTAAGATTAGGAAAAATTCGAACAATTTCAGCTAAGATTCTTGCCATTACATGTCGATGTTTACAATTTGTGAAAATAACTTTACCAAAGATCAAATCACGATTTGATCAACTATTAGTAAGTAATGTTCTCCTCTCATCTCTCATCTAATTGAATTTTCTACAGGTTTTATCTGAAAATTCTTCAAGCATTTCTTCCATTTCGTCGAACAGACAATTCGAACAATTCACTAAATTATACTCGGAGCATATCGATGAAATTCATAGTAAACTAATAACCATTATCGAAAGTACATTTGGTGATACGTTATCAACATATGAAGTTCGTGCTCCAGTTCCAAGTGATTGTTTTCGCACACTTGTGACTCGTCATATTATGGCATTTTACAACGCTGTAGCGCGAATTGTATCACCAAGTGACCTGATTTTACTTTTTACACGTCTTAATTCAATATTTAAACAATTATTAGCAAAACGTTTACGTCAATTGAAAATTGCTAATGATGGAGGACCACAACACGGTCTTTTAACAAGTGATCTACTGTATTATATGAATCAAGTACAAAATTTATCTGGACTTGAAATGTTAGAATTCCATGTCGATGAAATTTGGACTGCTAATTAACAGTTTTTCCTTTTCCTCTTTGTTTGATTGTTCTTTTACTTGAAATATATGCATGGAGCACTATGGCAAATCATTGACAAGATTTTGATTTTTGCTCATTAGATTTGTGAAAGCCAATATCGAATGAGGGCGTGTGAAGGTGAAGAGAATAGTNAAGTACAAAATTTATCTGGACTTGAAATGTTAGAATTCCATGTCGATGAAATTTGGACTGCTAATTAACAGTTTTTCCTTTTCCTCTTTGTTTGATTGTTCTTTTACTTGAAATATATGCATGGAGCACTATGGCAAATCATTGACAAGATTTTGATTTTTGCTCATTAGATTTGTGAAAGCCAATATCGAATGAGGGCGTGTGAAGGTGAAGAGAATAGTTGTATGGGCATCATGATGCAATCTTTCGCTTCAGATAAGGATTGTTTACGAGCTGGAGCATATTGATTCTTGAAATCTTTCCCATTATCTTCGCGTGTTAGTTCTACGACGTTGTTATGCGCGAAAGAAATGTTAGAAATGGATCGAATATTATCCATTATATTTCAATATACTCTAGCCTTCTTGTTCGAAAGGAATATCAATACATAGATTTATATTATTCTCCTTTTTCTTGTGTTGTTTCATTTCGAAATGATGTCTTAGCTACGGTCCATCGGCTCCAGTCTAATGGAAATAAGACAATCGTGGTTACAATATCAAATGTCGAACTTATCGAACACTTAGGTCGCGCTCTTTCAAACTTTTGATAACCATTTCCCTGTTGAAAGTGGTTATCTCTTTGGTGCACAACATTATTTCCACTCTTTCTTGTTTGACTGCGCACACCACATCAACTGTCTAAACACAATCGAATTTCACTCCACACAAAGATCAATTTTATACTCACTCGTTGATCATCCTTTTTCGAAACCACAGTGTAAACATTCTGTTGATGCTTTCATGAGCTTCAAAATATACTAATAAGAGAACATCGTTCATATTGATATTCTGCAAATATTCAATGGAAACATCTTATCCGAAACTGTTCCATCAATAACAGCACGTTCTCCATGAACACCTTCAGTTTCGACTACACCTGACTGCGCCGCAACTTGCCAACTAACTCCTGAAGCTTGTACAGCAACCGGACTATCCCAATATGAAGTCTTCGACAACCCAGCATCTACCGGATTTGGCAGAGTGGCAGCCAAACGAGGAAAGAAATTCGAATCATCTTTATCACTAGAAACAGGCCGTCGTACCGTACAATACATCGAAACCTAAAGGATGTATTAGAGATGAGCGTCTCTCGAGTCTCTGTAAACGAAGAATGCCTTTATTCGAAAAACATCGCCAAACATGTAAAAAGAGAAACTATGTGAGCGATAGAGAAAAACAGATGGTCGCGCATGTGAAGGTATGTACATATCTGTAACAGGATGGAATGATTTACAACGTTCACGATTGAAAAACCGAACTCACCACGGCCTGGCTGTGCAACAACAGATTGNTAACAACGAGCAATCGAACTTACTAGAAGGTGTGAAGCGGAAGTGACATGGAGGAGAAGGGGCGTTCGCTGGTTGCTAGTATGATAGAATAGTGAAAATTAATATGCAAGAAGGGTATTACTTCGGATATAGATCGACTGTTATTGTCGGGTTGGATGGTGACGTTTGTGATTTGTTGGCAGAAGCATCGCATTTGCCAACGGTTCTTAAATTGGATCGTGGTTGTTGAGCATGGATGGCAAATAATATGGAGGCAATTTAACGCGATTTGCGTGCTTGCTGATTCTCCGCATGCGGAGCAAACTCGGTTGGATTCCATAGCAATTGTTTAATCTAAAATGAGGAAAATACGTTTGAGTTGAACATAAAGTGTGGAGAGATTAAAGCTAATCGTAAAAATTGAGATGGAATAGACTATCAGTGTATTTCGTTTCGATATATGTTCGTAATTTACGTTCATTCATATCATAGTCATTTTTCTCGGTACACGTGATACTGTATACATTCATAGTAGGAATTTTGTTTCCGTTCTGCTCTTTCTCGCAGTTCGATTTTGTTTCGCCTCTATTAAATTTACTTTATCTGGCTTTTTCGTTGACTAGAACACGTGAATAAATCTAGCAGTATTTCGTACATTTCATCGCATACATTGTAGCGACTGGCTTTTGAATCGTTAAGATGTATAAGCCAAAAAAGAAAGTATGCTACGAATTCTTCCGTCATGCTATTTGTATCAATGAAAGAATAAGTTCATGTGATTACATCATTTTCCGAATGATTGATTATCGAATGACCGATATTTCGAAGTTAATAAGAGAAAGACTACTTGAGAAGTCAATGATGATACCGTTGACTAACCCCCTGCATACCGAGGAGATTTTCGTTCTAGATAGTCCATTCGATGTAATTCGTCTGATGTTGACACCACACTTATCCATGACTCTAAAACATTTGCATATTATTGTACGTGGTGCTCAAAATATGACCTATTTTCATGTACCGAATAAGCATCGATTAGTTGTTATGAAACAGCTGGAGACTTTCACATTTGTGAAATCTTTTATATGGAAATTTGAAAACGAGTTGCAATTTATTGAACTATTAACAAGTGCAGATATAATGCCAGTATTACGACGAGTAAATTTATCGATTGCTCTTGATACTGAGGAATTGAACCGAATCAAACAAAGCTCGATTTTCGATGATTATCGATGCATTGATGTGCATTTCGCGCTACATATAGTTGATGTTAATGCAAGGTTTGGGCTATTGAATTTGATTCCACGCGGTAGCACTTCTCATCCCAGAGATGTAAGAGGTTCGGTTTTCATGTTTAGTTATTGGTACGACGTCGGTTATTCAACTTCTGTTGAAAGTAATCGGGTAAATTCAATTTGAGCTGAGAAATCAAAGCTATTCATTTTTTGTCATTTTAGCGATCTCGATATAAATATGATCGGAAATGGTTATGGTATACTCTTCCATGGTCATTCGAAAAATTCTTTCAAATACCACTTTTAAATCAATGTGATATTGAAAGAGAACTCTATGCATCACCGTCATCATCTAATATAATCGTATCATCTGATATTTCCACATTAAACGAACAAGCTAATCTTTCACTACTACGTAAATATGTACCTGTGGGTTCCATACTTCTTGGAAGGAAGGATGAATATTTTAAGGAAGCTAATATAAATATTCGCATAACAATTCCGTCTGACCGTATCATTTCAGTCGACTGTTTAGACAGTCTAAATAGTTTTATGTACACAGGAAATCTTCGTTCCATTCATATTATCTTAACATTTTCAATTTTCACCGGTACTCTTAATTGGAAATTCTTACGTTCATTTTCAAACCTTTCATTGCTGAAATCATTACGCATAACCCTCCACAGTGGCGAAGTTTTGCTCGACGATGAACACTGCCGATTAATTGTCGAGAGAGTACCAATGCTCATCGATTTTGTATTCTGCTTCCGGGGAAATCTTGGTTTTTTGAATAATGATGGTCCATTCAACATTTATGGAAAATCTATTTTGAATTTATACCAACATATTCGTATGGCAATTGCCAATCGCACGCACAAATATGTTATTGAACCAGATGGATGTGGATTGATGGTTTGGTTATGATTCAAATACAACAGCAGTTGTCTTTACGATTCATCGTAGACAGTTGGTGTTAACAATGCAATAGTTTTTGTGTCTTCTTACATGTATTTTTTCCATAGATAAACAATAAAAGAGAATAAAAATTTACCATTTAGCGTTTCTAAGAGAAGTATAATCAAAACAAAATAAAGAAAAAGTCGCAAATAACAGAGATTCAACATCGATAGGATAAAGTGACGTTTCAATGAGTGTCATTTAGGAGTGAGAGTGTGGTGAGAAGAATTCAAATGTAGTAAATCGTGAGTAACAATTTTTCGTTGTTTCGTATAAAATCGTTTATGACGACAAACAAATAAGTAAACGAATATTTGCGCTTTTCTAACATCGGCACATTTATTAGATGTCGTACCATGCATCAAATGAACAGATGGCTCACGTAAGTTAGTGTGACCAGGTTTTCTACTTTTTTGTCACTGGTAATTGATAAGTCAATCTGAACAGTTCATAAGAACTGAATTAATGAAATGGACAAACAGTTCCAATTCCAAGAGCGAAATGAAATTATCACATGCGTACTTACTACTACAAATGGTTGGTCTTTCTTTTTATACAAAAACTTTCGAAAGAAAAGTTAAGTTTTGATGAAATGTTTCTACACGATTTACCCTTATCAGAATTTTCCTCACTTGAAAGAAAAACAGATATTTTACTATTAAAGATCACACCTGTTCTTTTTTTTTGAAATATATGCATTAAATACTACGACAAATCATTGACGACAATCGTATCTCGATGTTATTTATAAAGACTGAAACCGTCCGCGCTTGATCTTTTTGACTAATTGATTTGTAAAAGCAAATATCGAATTTCATTTCGCTCTTAAATGTGTATCCATTGACATACTCAACGTACGATTGTCGAAAGTGCTAAAAATAAAACGATGGTTTTTTCCAACATATTTGTCGTAATTTACCTTCGCCGAAAGAGAGAGGAAAAGCGGCTTATAAGCTTTCATTCAAACCTGAGGAAGTAGTCTATGTACATGAAAAAGAATCGAGTCTTGACATAGCTTTATCATATGAAAGGTCGAAAAAAGGTAAGTAGACACGTTCTTTGGTTTCCTAAGAAATACGAGAAATATTTTAGTGTAAAAGAGAAAAGCATCAACGTCGAATGACAATATTTCACTTGTTTATCTCAAGTGTTTATTTAATATTGTCCAATATTATAAAATTTCATGAGATTTCGTGCGAAATCTTTATTAATTTATATTTTGAAATCGATTATTTTTGTAAGTGAAAGTTTTGTGATAGAATTCGAAATAAATCCCTCCTTTTAGATAAAACTTTGACTAATCAACAAAAAAGGTATCGACGCGAGAATAGTTTAACAGATTTACATGAATTAATTGTTGAAAATCGTGAAAATCGAATTCGACATGCCATTTCTATGGATATTTCACTAAATCTTGTTGATCATTCCTTTCAAACTCCATTATATTACGCATGTCAACGAGGTCGTACAAAGCTTGTTCAATATTTACTCGAACACGGTGCTCGACACGATCTCTTTGATCTCAATAGAATTTCACCATTATGGATCGCATCAAAACAAGGTTTTCATGAAATTGTTTTACTTCTTCTTGAACACGGTGCTGATCCAAATCATCGATCTATTGATCAAACAACATCTTTATATCAAGCATCATATTACGGTCATCTCAAATGTGTATATCATCTTATTCGATATAAAGCTCGTGTTGATTATGCCAAAAATAGTGGTGCATCACCTTTATTTGTTGCGGCAAGAAATGGTTTTCATCGAATTGTAAAACATTTGTTAAAATTCGGTGCCGATCCGAATCAATGTCAAGAAGATCTTCGATCACCTCTACATACAGCCTTATTAAATAATCGTGTGAGATGTGTTCGAATTCTTCTTCGACATATTAATATCGATTGTTTAATTCAACAAAAAGATATTTATGAATGGAATCATTTTCATTTTCTTGCGAAAAAAGGAAGTTACAAATCCGCTCGTGTTTTGTTTCATCATTTGAAGAAAAAACAAAAAGAAATGAACTTTAATGAACAAGATTCATTTGGAAATACACCAATTCATATTGCTTTATTCAACAAGAAAAGTAAATTTCTTCAATATTTACTTAAGAAAAATGTTGATATAAATCAACCGAATTGTTTCGGATGGAATTATCATCAATTGAAATTGAAATTCGAAGAATCTTTGAATTTGAACATTTGTCAATCAAAAGATTACTTTGAAAATTTATTATCAATTCATTTAATCAAATATACAGATGAAGATCGATTAATTAGTGAAGAAATTCAATGTTATGTTAAAGAATTACTTACAGTTATTGAAAGAATAAATCCTTTATTTCGTAGTGAAATCATTTGTAGTGGATCATTTTATGAAAATACTCGTGTTGGTTTACCTGATGAATTTGATCTTATGATCGATTTAATTGAAATTGAACATTTAGCGAAGTTTATTGAGGTGAATTCTGATCCACCGGGTTACGGGCGATTGTATCCTGATGATAGTTACGAAGCTTTTCGAAGATTAGTTTTCTATTTAGATCCCAAAACATCCTGTCTTTCTGCTGAGAAAATTCGCAAACAATTCTATCAACTTTTAACATCTGCACGATCCTCTGTGATTAATCGAGAAACTTCCTCACATTTTAAACATTTGAAACTTGAATGGACAAGTGATGATAAACAATGTGGAACAGCTATTCATGTCGAATGGTATGGTGTTCAATATCCATATTTATCAATTAAAATTGATGTTGTTCCTTGTTTAACAATTTATTCATGGCCTCGAACAGCAACATTTGATTGTCCATTAGAAAAACATCAATTTCATATTATTCCTCGTAGTCCACAAGTTAATGAAAGTTTTCTTTGGCGAATTTCTATGTCACAATTGGAATCAATTCATTTACAAAACATTTCATTAAATCAAAAAAATGGATATTTAATTTTAAAATGTTTAAGAATTTTATTTCCATTTAAAAGTCACATTGGAACATCAATTTATACAAATGAAGATCTCTTAACATCATATATGTTTAAAAATGAATTTTTTCATGAATTATATCGATTTCCATTTGAATCTCAATGGATTAATGGAAGTTTGACTCATCGAATATTTGGAATTCTAAAGCGTTTACATAAACATTTACTTCTTGGCTCAATTAATTCATTTTTTATTCAAAATTATAATATTATTGATTTAAATGAATATAAACAAATTCGTTCAATTGAAATTCAATATCTTCGAACAATTCTTTCGCATTTAAAAGAAAAATTCGATTTTATCCAAAAGACATCTTTACGTCGACATACAATTACTCATCTCGGATCAACTCAACGAAAACCTCGACTCAGACAACGTGCATTTACTCATTTTCCTGAATTTCAATCATTGTAAAAGACTTTCTTGTCACTCAAATCATTTTTCACTATGAATTTTCTCGATCTGATGACTCTCAAACTGAACTCTTCCTTTGAATTATAATCCACAATGCATTTTTCACGAATATTTTCCAACTTATCTTTCTAAGTTTATTCTCTTTGACAGAGAAAATCTTAGTTCGTCTTTTCACTTTCTGAACACGTATGACTCGTTCTAGGATGGAAAAATTACATTTTTCCAACTTGTTTTTGTTAAAACAAAATCGATAAATGCTTCCTTATCGTTACTTACAATGACATTTTTTTTTATTTTTCCTTTATTTCAAAGAAAGAAAAACTACTTTAATGAGTCATAGGTATTTATATTTGTGAGGAAAGAAACAAAAAAGCGTCATTTTTGGCTGACTCAAAACGATGTTACATCGCAATGACATTGTGAAACATAACTTCACCTTTTTCCTTTGATATACCCGATAAAATAAATCAATCATGTCCGATAACCAAACTTCGGCATCTGAGTTGTTTTTCGTAAGTAAAAAAGACTCATTCCCAATGAAAAAGCAGAGAAAATTTTTTAGAGAAATCCTCATCAATATTCTCCATTAATCCTTCATGCAAATAGTATTGCGAGTGGTCTTTTATTTAATTATTATTATTCATATCTCAATCGACAAATTGGTTCAAGTATGACACACTTTTTTATTGATATTTTTATCGAAACTTTGTTTATTTTTAGCGAATAATATTTTTTTAAAATTCATTTTCAATGAAATTCTTTCTCGAGATTTATTTCCTTCGATAATTTTCGTCAAATTTCACACATTGATCGAAAAAAGTTTTCTTGAAAGTATTCCGTCGACTTTTGAATCTGATGAAACTGAATTAATTCAATCGAAAATTCTTCAATTGAAATTTGATGAAATTTCTCATGAAAATTCAACAACAATCGCGAATTATTCGTTAATTGGTGTTAATGATTTTGGAATTTCTCTTCAATTAATTCGGATCTTTCAAGATGAATTTCGTCTCACTAATTTGACTGAAATTCAATTAAACGATGACATAAGACAATGGAATTATCAATATTTTCCTTCATTATCCTCTGATTCGTAAATATTTTTCCTTTTGAAATATTTTATTTAAAGAATTTCTTTTAGAGAGAATGAAAACATCAA